TATACACTTATAATTATACAATACAAATATTTCCCTGCCCAGTTTTCTTTTGTCTTTCTCTCTTTCTCGTTTTATACATACACAGATTATACAATTGATCTTTTGTATACAACTGCTTTCTTTTGTATATGTATAGCGAAATACACATATTTATCTTTGCTATGGAGCACAATTATGCAAACTTTGTTATAACATACAAATATGAATTTTGTGTTTGCTATATGTGAAAGTTGCTCAAAATATTAACTAACCTTGTTATTACATAATTTTTTTTGTTATTATTAGTGTATATAGTTTAAATTCAATTAAAAGAAGTAAGGCCAATGAAAAAATAGGGGAGGAGGTTGTCACTGTTAGTGGCGGAATAACATATACGTTGAAAACTTACACTGTATAGTCAGATAAAATAAATTTTAATGTATATATATTGAATATTGTTATTCTTTGATTTTTACGTGATTTTACTTATTTATATTTTGATATTTTTTAATCAAAATTTTTACGTGATTTTACTTATTTATATTGTGATGAGGTCTTGAAGGGACAAGAGAGTTTCATGTTTTTTTTTTTCTTTTCTTTTTGTTTGAATGAAATGAAAATAATGAGAGGAGAGAACTAACTCTTCAAATTTGAATAGTTGGTTTGATGGTGAGTAAAAATTTATGAGACCTTTAAAAATATATATTTTTTATTTTGTGGGGTTTTGGTTTTTCTTCTTTTAGATATGTATTGAGTTGTGACGATCAATCAGATATAAAAATTTATCTACATCCAATATTTATATTAAACTAAAATATTAATATTTTAATTATTATAATTAAGAAGCAAAAAGAGTATACAAAGCACACATATTATGTTATCATTTGTTTGATATAAACATCGAATACATTTATTTTTTTCACCACAAATGTATCACGTAACCTGTGGTTTAATAAAAAATTTAATACCTTTGTTCAAATTTTATATATATACTGAGAAATTCATTAATATCTATAATTATTTGATTTTAAATTTAATTGTTAATATTATTATAAATTAATTTAAAATTAATATTTTTTAATTTTTAAATTTATTAGTTTGTCATACTTATGAGTGGAGTCATCTTTAGGCGAAGAATGATTCAGTGTATATTCTTTATTGAAAAATTACGTAATATGCATAAATTAAATACTAATTATTATGAATATATATTTAATTTGAAGAAATTTATATATATATTTTATTAAATTTCTTATTCCGTCGTTGCTCATGTTGTGATTGTTGGTTGTGAATAAGTGAATATAAAATTAAAATGAAATTTATATTTTGTTAATTGTGGAAGGCAATTAATGCAATGTGGACAGTTTGTTGTTCAAAACATATGATTCTAAAGAAGTTGGCCCATGAAAAGAAAGGGGGTTGGTGGGGTATACTACATTTATTTATATGTAATATATACGTTATACTATTTTATAAGTGAATTAAATACTAGTTCAGAAAAAAATCAGAAGGTCCCATCTAGTAATTGTATAATTAAATAATATAGTGGTACTGCTATTTAATATTCTCATCAAATGCAACCAACATAGATGGTAATGAGATGTTAAAGAATCTGTTTATCTATAATTAGATGTTTTGAATTCGAGTCATGAAGCATTTTTTGATGATTAATGAACAATTTGAAGTGCTTCGGATTTGAATCAGGAAGTCATCTCTGATGATGAATGAGCAATTTGAAGTGCTTTTCTTGCGTATTCTTGGTAAATCAACGTTATTGATATGAAATTTGATTTAAATTCAATATAGTAATATAATGAATAAAAAAATTATTGGAAGCATTACATCAAAAGATGAACCCTACAATGTTCAAATTCAAATTTAATCAAATTTCAATATATATATATATATATATATACCGAATATCGAATGAAAATAATAAAATTAATACATCAGATTTAAAGCCTTAATTGCAATAGAAAAAAAGGAGGGAGTTAGGTTTAGGGCTTTAGATGTTTGGCCATGGTTGAGATTTGAAAAGGAAATTGTATAATTAAAATTGAAATAGATATTTAAAAATTCCCGCGTTAGAGGGGAAGATTAGCAAAGCGATTAAAGTTATGTTTAACATAAAATTACAGTTCAAATTTTACGGAAAACTTGAAAAATGGAAATATTCTTAAAATGTATTTTTTTTTCAAATCAAATTGTAATATATATATATATATATATATATTTCTTTCAAGTTTGAAATTGAATACATCATACCATCATCATAGTCTCATAGATCGACCCACATTTTTTAAAAAAGACGAATTGATACATATGGGCTTTTGTCATCCATCTTATCATGCGCTAGGCATCTTATGTTGCGGTAAGCATACTATGATGCTACATTTATAGAGGCTTAGGGGATAGCTAAACGATCAATTAAAGATCAAGTAAGCAAGCAGATGCAATCAAATAGCATCATCACTTTCTCCGTCTTTTACATTTTGGCCTCTATTTTTTTCATTTTTGTAGTTGTTCTAAACAATCCATCCAACTATCAAAGATTATCATTGAATAGGTACATTTATTTATTCTTTATTAAAAATCTCGAATTTAAATTATGTAAATGAAAATTAATTCGAGTCATATATAACAACAATATACTAAGTAAATATTGCATGGTTTAAAAGAATTAAAGATTCTTCTTTCAATTTTAAAAATAATGAGTTATTTGCTATAATGAGTTTTATTAAGATGTGAGAATTTTAATCTTGAAAATATAAAAAAAAGTTATTTTCTACAAAAATAAAAATAATTTGATGGTATAAAAATTTCTTTTAACGCCCCATATATATAACTTAAACTAAAAAACAAATATCATCACCTAACAGTTCACTTCAATATTATCAACCAAGATTGTTTTTGTCTTCTTAATTTATTTCACAATTAAGACATGTTTTTATTTTCTTAAGATGGGACATTTGGGTGATTGTGTCATTAATGAAGTTATTATCGCGTAATTTATAAGTCATGAATTTGAGTTGTAAAAATAACTATTAATAATTATATTATTGTGTACATCACATTTCTTAAAGTACGATTATTTTTTGAATTATATATAAATATAAAATATTTTATGTATCGGACTGTCATTTTTAGTGAAAAAATGAGAGTTAAAGAGATTGAGACATTGAAGAGACTTTAAATGATAATATTACGACTTTTTGGGCTCACAAAATTTTGTAGGTGACTCCATTTAATGATATATAGATGAAAAATATTAAGTACCTATTAATAAGTCCTCGAAAATGACGTTTAATTATAATTGCGGACATAATTAAATTTGTGTCCCAGGGTTGGAGTAAATGATTTATTATATACGAATTGAATAAAAGAAAATGGTTTTTTCTTATATATTCAACTAATTTTCTAATTAATTATTACTCCTTCGATCCATATTAGTTACTATTCTCTTCGTTTTTTAAATAAGTGATATTTTTGTTTTTTCACTTTATTTCAAAATAAGTTGTATTTTATACTATAATCAAGAAGAAATAATTTGTTTCCTTTAAAATTATCCTTATTTTAATACATGTTACGTTATTAAATAATCACGTTTTTCTTCAATGCTTTAATTAAGAATAAGCTAATTGACTAATTTTTGAAGTTAATCTGGATTAGATCATATTTTATAATTTATTTATTTTTTATGACAAGGGAAATCCGCAGCCGCTACCCTTTGGGTGCGCACAGGGTAAAATCCCCGCTCCTATGCAATAGCTCGCAAACCACATAGGAGAGGTAACCCGCACTAGACAAGCCTGGTGCGACGAGCTCGACCCAGAAGGCAAACTCCTTGCTTTCGCTGGCAAGGGGTTTCGAACTTGAGACCTCCAAATTAGTATTTTATAATTACAAAACAAGTGCTCGAAAATTATACACAAATACAAATCATAATTGTCCTAATGTCAATTTGATAAAGAAACATTATTTAAGATATTAGTCAAAATTTATACGATTTAACTTTTAAGAAGTAAAATATGATAATTAATTTGAAACAAAGGAAATAGGTCATATAATTAGAGTTTCTTTTGTAATTCTCTAC